GTCCTTTATTTCCAACATCTGTGTAACGGATACATGAATGAGGACGCGGATAGATGGAAGACGGCTCTCGCGGTGTTTTCAGCTCCTCCTCACTCTGAACCCATTGTGAGGTAAAAGGTATAAAGATCAACTGAATTGACTCTAATTAATTAAAAGGGGACAAAAAGAGCAAGGGCTCTGGGTCTGGTCGCAATGGGAGTGGTATCAGCACAGTGACGACGTTCCTCTCAAAGAAGACTCTGAAGAGAGAACTGAAAGTGAAATGAGGCCATCACACGCAGCCAGCGGTACCCGGGAAGAACCGTCTTTCCTTCCTTGAAGCCCCCAATTCCGTGCCTGCCCCTGCGCTGGGAGCCGCAGAGCAAACCCCTGCAAGTCAGCTTCCCAGGGGAGCACTGAGCAGGTGTCAGAATGCATTTGGAGTCTACGTGAACAAAGATTTAGAGATGAACAAATTGAGGGAGAAGCATTTCTGCTTATGAGCCAAAGGGACAGTGTCAAAATTATGAGCATTAAGCTGGGCTTGCTCTCAAAATGTTCAATTCTCTCCCAATGCTCGAAGCTGCAGAAAAGAAGTCTTACAGTGAACTTTGAAGTTCATTGACAGCATTGACAATGACGATGAATCCTGTACCCATCGCCTTTCTCCTTCAAAGCTCATGCTTTGCTCAAAGGATGGCTCCAGTTCTTCAGTGGGAAATCTCCGAAACTCAAAAAGAGCAGGGCTGTCGGTCATTTATATTTCTGAAGAGATAATATATGAATTTTTCTGAAAATGCTGCACTGTCTTAACAACAGTCAACTTTTTGGTTCTGTTCCCTGAGCTAAATTTATCTTTGTAAATCTTTTGGAGACTGGAGGGGGAGGGGAGGGGAACCTTCGTTAATTATTTATGGGCAAAGTGGGGCAGAATAAGAACTTTTGGCATTTTGTAAATATTGTTGAATTCTATTTATGTACACGGTTTCTTTTTTCAATATTTGCAGGAACCTGTTTTATTATCAAAATTCAACTTAAGCCAAAATTAGTCAAAACCTGGCTAAGTTTAGCCAGCTGGGATTTTTATCTGTATTGTCAATTTTGTACCATATTTTGAATTGCAACATTATGTTACATATCACTTTGCAAGTCATGATATTGCCTAACTGCTTGTAATAATTTGTTGGAACTGCACTGTTGTAAAAAAAAAAAAGGTACTTTTCGTTCAAGCAATGTTCTTACTTTTGCACGAATTATGCAATGCTTAAGCTAATTATGTTTTCACCAGCATCTTCACTATAATTACAATAGAGGTGTCCATAAAGGAATGAAATTGAAAAATAAAAATATATAAGCATAAATACATGAGGTAATGTCTTTTGAAAGGCATCAGTCCCGAACATCGCGGTGCCCTATATGTATACCTGAGTCAGATGGTGCCGGAGGAGTATGCAGTGAACATTGGGGGAACCGTTTTTCAGGACCTTGAACTAGGTGCGAGATCACCATGAGCGTCTCTCGGACTGTTGCTGGTGATGTAACTGTGGTGCTTTGCAGAGAGGAAGGGCTCGATCTAGTTTTTCTGAGTTCTCAAGAGCTCTCTCGGATCTTACTGTGTCCTCCAGACCCACAGCGTTTCTTCAGAGCTGGGTAAAGAGAAAGTGTAGAGTGTGTAGACTTGACTCAAAAGGCACAACGATGTCAGTGGACTGAAGTTCCACATGCTCGCAGATCAGGGAGGCACTTTCCCAAAGCAGTCTGTTGGAAGGATTCCTTTTTCTGCAGAACACTTTGCCTCTATTTCTAAGTGTATCGGTGCACTTTAAATGAAAACCCTAAGTTACCTATAAACTGATAGCTGGTAGCTTTTTTGTTTTTGCTTGTAAGATTGCATTTGCAAGGAAAAAGGTAAATGACTTCATTACCCTTTTGGTATAGTTTCCAATCTTAAGATGGGAAATTTATCCAAGGGCTATTTATTAAAAGAAAGGAAATAAGTTCGTAGCATGCTTACAGAATTTGGGAGAAATCTCTTTTCTCTCTCTCAAGTTGGTATCAGTTCTTCTGATGTAGAACTCCTTCGATATCCCCATGATCTGCATTCCTGTTGGAGGGTCCTTTGCATCGACCTAATTCCAGGTTAAACAGGGTCAGTGACATCTAACATGTCCCATTCACTTCTTTTTATTTTCTTTTAAAATAATTTTATTGGGGGCTTATACAATTCTTATCACAATCCATACATACATCCATTGTGTCAAGCATATATGTACATTTGTTGCCATCATCATTCTCAAAACACTTGCCTTCTACTTGAGCCCTTAATATTAACTGCTCATTTTTCCCCCTCCCACCCCTCCCTCCCTCCCTTATGAACCCTTCACAATTGATAAATTATTATTTTGTCATATGTTACACTGTCTGAGGTCTTCCCTCCCCACCCCCCTCTTCTCTGCTGTCCATCCCCCCAGGGAGGAGGCTATACGTAAAGTCTTGTAATTGGTTCCCCCTTTCTACCCCACATTCCCTCCACCCTCCAGGCATCGCCACTCTCACCACTGGTCCTAAAGGAGTCAGCTGTCCTGGATTCCCTGTGTTTCCAGTTGCTATCTGTACCAATGTACATCCTCTGGTCTAGCCAGATTTGTAAAGTAGAATTGGGATCATGATAGTG